AAATTACAAAAATATTTTCTCTTATTTAGCTAATCGATATTTTATTTAGTTACTTTTAGTTTATCTACCTTTCATAAAATTTAAAAATTACAAAAATAGTTTCACTTTTAGTATTTAGTTTTATTTTAGTAGTTTATTTTAATTAGGAGTGATTTCTATATTTTATAAATACATTATAATTTTTAGAATAAGATTTGGGATTTTAGCTAAAAGAGTTTGAACAACCCTCAAAACTAGTCTCATTTTGGAATTTTCTTAAGCAAAATTTGGACCAACCCACTTACCCTTATGCCCCTCGGAAAAAAAGAGGTGTGACAGGAAGTAGTTGTCCTTTGACTTTTACTGCGTCTTGGATTATCTTCAACAAAAGTACTTCCCTTTGCTTCTTCCCGAGGTCGCTTAGATTTTTTACTAGATGGCTCACATTCCATTTATACGGATAATATTCTCAAAGAATTCAGCATTATCTGATTCAATTATCGTATTAATATGAATGTCGGGATTTTCTAATTTATGAACCAGAAAACGATATGCCTTACTATTTGTTGCATATCCTATAAAAATGCAATCAACGGTTTTCAGTCAAATCTTTACCCTTTTGGGTTTAGGGACCTGCACTTTAGCAAAACACCTCCACACTTTAAAATATTTTAAGTTGAGTTTCCTTCCTTTCCATTTTTCATATGGAATGGATTTCGTTTTTCCATGGGAAACTCGATTGAGTATTTGGTAGACAAAGCTGAGCCGAGCGAGCTACGACGACGACGGCGCGAGGCTTGCTCTCTTCTCAACTCTTTAAGAGCTAGAAGAAGTGTTTTTATATATAAGCACAAGAATTTTCTGTTGAAATTCGAATACAAACACAGAGCCAACGCAGCGGAATTAAATATAGAACGTCCCTTCAGCCATTGTTGTTCAAGCGTTATGGGAATCGCCTTTGAAACTTTTAGCAAAAAAACCGAGAGAGCCTTCTAGCCTGTGCCTATCATAGGATGCCAGACTGATGGAGTCACAGGTGTATTTATAGGTAGGCTAGGGACTCTTACGCAAATACTTTAGCCCTAGGGACTTCTCCATGAATTATAATTACCCTAGGGACTCCTAATATATGGTAATTTCTTTCCATCAAAGAAACTACCATATATGCATAACTGCAGAATATTATCTGATATATTATTTCCTTTGGGAGACAAGGTAAATAATTTATTACCTAATATGTGGGCCACACTAGAAGTCTCTAGAAGAGACGATAATTTCTAACATTCTCCCACTTGGCCCACATATTAAAATCAGATAATCGCTTATGAGAGATAAACATATAATATGGCCATAAACTTTATCAGTCAACTAAAAGTTATGCAACAATCACTTTAACTAGAATATATTATTACACGAATCATGGCAGTCATGCTTTTAGACAAACACTTCCTTCTATGTATTACAATGCACAATATATTCTAACAAAGTGTCTAACAACTTTATGAATGAACTTAATATAAGTCATTCAGAGTCCAACTTTATTGATCCAATGATCATAAATAATACATAAAAAATCAAAAGTGTACACTGTCATATATATCAAAATAAACATAATGTNCTACTAAGCCCCATATGGGTTACATGATCCTTGAAAATATTAGCCGGCAGACCTTTAGTCATAGGATCAGCAATCATAAAAGTAGTACTAACATGCTCAAAATTCACATCTTGCTTCTTCACATAGTCTCTTACCATCAAGTACTTTATGTCGTTGTGCTTGCTTCAACTGCCAGTTTTATTATTCTTAGAAAAGAAAACTGCAGCTGAATTGTCACAAAAGATTCTCAATGGCCTTGAAATGGAATCGACAATCCTAAGGCCAGAAATAAAGTTTTTCAACCATAACGCCTGTGATGTAGCTTCATAGCATGCTATAAATTCAGCTTCCATTGTGGATGTTGCAACAATGGTCTGCTTGACACTTCTCCAAGACACAGCACCTCCAGCAAGAAGGAAAATGTATCCTGAAGTAGATTTACCAGTGTCTTTGCATCCACCCAGATCAGATTCTGAATATCCAATCACCTCCAATGAGTCAGAGTATTTGTATGTGAGCTTACAATCCTTGGTTCCTTGCAAATATCTCAAGACCCTTTTACCAGCTTTCCAATGGTCAAGACCAAGGTTACTTTGATATCTGCCAAGCAATCCTACCGCAAAAGCAATATCAGGTCTAGTACAGACCTGTGCATACATAAGGCTCCCAACAAGCGAAGCATAGGGAATGTCTTTCATTTGCTCCTTTTCCAATACGTTTTGTGGACATTAATTCATTGAGAATTTGTCACCTTTAATTATGGGTGCTGCAATATGTGAACAGTTCTTCATCCCAAATCTTTCCAGAATTCTTTCAATGTAGGCCTTTTGAGACAGTCCAAGTAATCTTTGGGATCTGTCTCTGAGAATATCTATGCCAATGACATAAGAGGCTTCACCCATATCCTTCATCTCAAAATTCTGGATAAAGAACTGTTTAGTCTAGTGCAACAATCCCAAATCACTACTTGCAAGCAAAATATCACCCACATATAGGACTAGAAAAATATATTTGCTCCCACTTATCTTAAGGTATATACACTGATCAATGATGTTCTCCGTAAATCCAAAAGAAGAAACAACATTATGAAATTTAATATACCATTGGCGGGAAGCCTGCTTTAGCCCAGAAATGGATTTATTCAACTTGCAAACAAGGTGACTTTTGTCCTTATCACAAAATCCTTCAGGCTGACGCATGTATACCTCCTCTTCAAGATCTCCATTCAGTAAAGCTGTTTTCACATCCATTTGATGTAACTTTAAATCAAAATGAGTTACTAATGCCATGATTATTCTTAATGAATCCTTCTTTGATACTGGAGAGACGGTTTCATGATAATTAATGCCTTCCTTTTGAGTAAAACCCTTGGCTACATGTCTGGCTTTATTATCGTTCGATTTACCAGATGAGTCTCTTTAGTTTTAAAAATCCACTTGGAACCTATGGTAGAGCATCCCTTTGGTAATTCGACGAGATCCCATACTTTGTTTTTAGCCATAGATTCTAACTTCTTCTTTCATGGCATTCATACCAAAGTGTGGAGTTTTCTCCCACTCATGGCTTTGTGAAAACGAGCATGGATCATCTTTTAGTCAAATATCATAATCAGACTCTTGGAGATATACAACATAGTCACTAAAAATTGTCGGTTTTCAAACTCTTGAGGGTTTTCTCACTCCCACTGGTTCAGGCCCTTCTTCAGTGCATTCAGGTAAAGCGGGTTGATCTTCATGTGGCTCCTCAAGTGGTGGTGGCTCTTGAACTTTTGTTGTTTAGATAATTCATGAGAATTTTTCTGAGACATTCAAGTTCCTAATAAATAAAGGTACCACAGGTGGTTCCCTGATTTCTTCCAATTCCACCCTTTGAGTCAAACCCACTCCACTCTCTTCCATGCTCCTCAAGAATTTAGCGTTTCTAAGCTTCAACACTTTTAGGAGAATGAGAAGGACAATAAAACCTAAATCCCCGCATAGCCTATAAAATAACCGCTTGTTGTTCTTTCATCCAACTTCTTTAGTTGTGGGTTATAAACCCTCACTTCAGTTGGACATCCCCAAACGTGTAAATGGTTTAAAATAGGTTTCCATCCTTTCATAACTCAAAAGGTGTCTTGGGGACAACCTTGGATGGAACCGTATTTAAAATATACACAACGATTTTTAAGGCTTCACTCCATAAGAATAAAGGTAAACTTGATCTGCTAATCATGCTTCTTACCATGTCCATTAATGTCCGGTTCCTTCTTTCTGCCACACCATTTTGTTGTGGTGTTCTGGCATTATATTGAGCAACTTTACCTTCACTTTCAAGGAAACTCAAAATGGACCTTTAACTTTGTCCCTTATCTGTGTACCTACCATAATATTCTCCGCCCCTATCAGATCTTACATTTTGATTCCGAGCACCCGTTTGTTTCTCTACTTCTATTTTGTAAACTTTAAAAGCATCAAGTCCTTCTGATTTATGAAACAGAAAATAGAGATACATATATCTTGAATAGTCATCAATGAACGAGATAAAATATCTCTCACCATTCAAGCAAGGGGTAGGAAAAGGTCCAATATGTCTGTATGTATGATCTCAAGCAATGAGAACTCTTTTTGGCACCTTTAGTTGATTTGTTGGTCTGCTTACCCTTTATGCAGTCCACACAAGTCTCAAGTCAGAAAAATCAAGAGCTTTTAGAACTCCATCATTAACCAACTTTTTGACTCTATCAATAGGGATATGTCCCAATCTCTTGTGCCAAAGACTTGATAGTTCTCATTGATAATACATCGCTTAGTGCCAATTTCTTTATCATGCAAAGTTAAAACATTGCATTCGAATGTGGGGTCTAGCTAAAGTTAATATAAATTTCCATTCAAATTTCCAAAACCAATAACTTTATTACCTTTCAAAAGTTTCACAGAAGGATAATAAAAATTCAAATCATATCCACTATTTGATAGTCTTGAAAGAGAAATTAAATTTCTAGAATATTTTGGAACATAAAAAGTATTTTCTAAATCTAAGTGAAAACCATCCTTCCAAATGAGCCTATAAGTCCCCACGCCTTCCATACGTGAACGCGTTCTATTGCCAGAATAGACGTATTGTTCACTTCCTATCGGCTTCCTCTGAGTTAGAAAGTCGTGCATCATTTTGGCAATGTGAATTGTAGCACCAGAATTAATCCACCATGTATTATCAAAAACTTCAGTAAAATTAGATTCATAACATACTAAGGTAAAATTACCTTTCTTCTCAAGCCATTTCTTGTATTTCAGGCAATCCTTCTTCCAGTGTCCCTTCTTCTTACAGAAACGACAAGCATCTTTGTCAAAGGTGCTTTTCTTCTTCATGGGAACACTTTTGCCCTTCTTTGCATTTCTCTTACCATGAGTCACCATGTTAACACTTTCAGGTGTCTCATGCTTCAACCTCTCTTCTTCTTGAACCACATGGTCAAAAGTTCATTGATTGACCATTTATCCTTATGTGTGTTGTAAGAAAACTTGAACGAACCATATTCCGCAGGAAGTGAGTTGAGAATAAAATGCACAAGAAATGGTTCGGACATATCAACCTCAAGGGACTTGAGTTTAGCAGCAATGTCTCTCATCTCCATAATGTGCTCACGCACTATACGACTTCTGTCGAAAGTCATACTTGAGAGCCTCTTCATAAGGGTGCTGGCCAATGCCTTGTCAGAGCTTACAAATTGTTCATCAATTGCCTTCATGTAAGCTTTGACCTTATCACTATTAGGGATAGAACCCCTAATGCTTTGGCTTATGTGGGCTATAATGAGCATTAAACTTAAGCGATTAGATCGCTCCCACCGCTCATAATCAGCCTTAGCCGCTGGCGTACTTGATTCCGTGGGGATAGGTGGTTCATCCACACGGAGTGCGAGGTTCAGATCCGAGCACCCTAAATTGAGAAGGACTTTCTCCTTCCATTCAGCATAATTGTCACCAGAAAGCATTGGAATTCGAGCATTCTCATTAAAAATAGCGGTAGGAAAAGCGGTAAAGACTGCAAAACAAGGATAAACATACATAAGCTATGAAGTACAATCCATCAAAGGTGAATCGTGTAAAACACCGATTCATAGTAAATTCTAGACCTTCCTGTGGGCAGAGGTTGCAACCCATGCATAGAATTTACTATCTTTATTAGACTAGTAAACCAAAATACATAAAAATTTATCCGTACCTGTGGGCATAAGATAATTTTAACTTAAAGGTTTACTATCTCATTCCAATTAATCTCACCAATGGTTACCTCCCTGGAGGGCCGGGTTTCCATTTTAATGAGATAACTGGATTAAATAGATATCACTATAATATTTAATCACTAAACTTTATGTGATTAAACAACTTGATCTCTTTTATATCAAGTACTCAAGATGCTGTGGCTACTCCTAAGTACCTCACATAAAAGAATACTCAAAATTGACATCTTACCGTAATCATCTTAAATAAAAGTTGATTAGATTCTCAAACTCGGAACACGAAGTATAAGCAGATGCCTATATAGCCCCATTTGGAACATAGTTCTTATAATTAAACTTAAATTTATAAGAATATATAGAGGCATATCCTTGAACACAAAAGATACAATAAACAATTACGCTAAAGTGCATCATGATTGTCTCGGATCTTTATTGAGGAAGTATCACATTACTCTTTTAAATCAACGAACTTCTCTGTCAAAACTAAAAATAATAAATGACAGAATCTTTAAAGCAAATTAGATGTCATAGCCAAACTTACAAGTTCATTACTGAAAGTAAAGTTTGTTTGTTTCACTTAAGTTAAGAAATAATAAATAAATAATGCAACAAAGCAAACTCTATCAGTAAACTAGAATCATAACGTTTACTAGATTACAAGTGCATCCATTTTATTTACTGCATATAGACTAACACAAATCTAGTAGTTAGGACGCAATTACAATTAAAACAAACCTTGGATTTCATACAAGCCTTATAGCATTAGTACTTGTTAATTTTCATGACATACACTTCAGAGGTTCTTGGCTCGGAAACATTAGCAATAATCTAGTGATTCTAACAAGTACTATTACGCCACAGAGATATGTAATTGGGCGTGAACTTAGATAAAACAAACGTGTTAAAGAAATTAAATCAAACACATCTTGAATAACATATCGGATAAGAACATGAAATCCAATCACGGAATATAGTAAAGTAATTTACTAGCTGGTCTTACAATTATCCGATCCTTAGCACTTTCAATAGAAATTTTTGTTTCGTAATTCGTCGAAAATTTACTGTCGGCATAACGACAATTGGATACTGAACAACATAGCAAAAGGGAGACTCTGATACCATATGTTAAAATTTGAATACAAACATAGAGCCAACGCAGCGGAATTAAATATAGAACGTACCTTCAGCCATTGTTGTTCAAGCGTTATGGGAATCGTCTTTGAAATTTTTAGCAAAAAAACCGAGAGATCCTTCTAGCATGTACCTATCGTTGGATGCCAGACTGATGAAGTCACATGCGTATTTATAAGTAGGCTAGGGACTCTTAGGAAAATGCTTTAGCCCTAGGGACTTCTCCATAAATTATAATTACCCTAGGGACTCCTAATATATGGTAATTTCTTTCCATCAAAGAAACTACCATATATGCATAACTACAGAATATTATCTGATATATTATTTCCTTTGGGAGACAAGGTAAATAATTTATTACCTTATATGTGGGCCACACTAGAAGTCTCTAGAAGATACGGTAATTTCTAACATTTTCCTCTTTCTATCCAATGAGGGATAAAGTTTCTTTGTAAAAAAGGACTAATTCAAAATTTTATTTCCCTCTATTTCTTTTTCCACCATTTTCCATTCACACCTCTTTTGTTTTAATTAACAAAACCTAATAATTAATGTTAAGTTCAGTCACCAAGAATTGGAGACAGTCTCATAATTGGAAAGCCATGTATGCGCTACGTGAAGGCCAATGTTGAATAGGACAATCTTTGGAAGATAGGGAGACAGATTATCAGCTTTTTGTTTGATAAATGGACCTCTAGTGGTCCGATGTATAGCACCATTGGTTAGTGGCGGAGTCAAGATCTTTCACTATGGGAATAAGAATATAAAGAAGTAATTCACGAAGAAGCCAAAGGTTATCAATTTAAATCTACGGAGAAGCCGAGCAGCGGTATAGCCAGGAATTTTGTCCAGGGTATTCAAACTTTAAACAAGTCAATAATTTTTTTTATCGATGAATAGTGTATCAAATTTTTTAGATCAAACTACGCAACATTTAGCTAAACAAATAAAGAAAACTTTTAATAGAACTATAATTTTATAAATCAAAATTAAAATAACAAAAAGAAAACATTAGAATATTTACTAATAAAAATAAGCATAAAACCAAAGGAAAGAGAGAGTCGAGAGGATTTGTAGTCTGTAGAGAGTTTTAGTTGAAGAATTTTTTTTATAAAGCTCGAATTTTAAATTATAAAATTTATTTAACAAATAACTTTTAGTTAAAAAATTACTTTTAAGATTAGTTGTTTATTTCTACACAAATTTTAAGTTTTAAGAGTTATCTTATTTTAAAAAATAATAAATTGAAAAGAATCAAATAAACCACACATGATGAACTCCGTTTAGTTTGAACTCATGAACAACACGTCTCTTTAATAATTAAAATTGTCTGGCATAGATAGGAGAACAGATACCATTGATTCGATCCTTCTATGTAGATAAAGTTTATATTAATATTTGTTAGAATCTTTATACAGTAGCAAATAGTAACATAGTTGTATAGGGTAAAATATGCTACGCCACGTGGTCGTCCAAAAAAGGAACACGTGAAACCTAAGACGGGGGATGTCGAAGATCAAAGGCAACTTTTTCGTCTGTCACTGAGAAGAATAACACTCATATGGATGTAACAAATACTCTTCGACCGGTAGCATTTAATAGGGAATATTCCATTGCATTAAGTGCGATTGCTCGTTACAAGGAATTTGGCATTTACGCTCACTGTCATATCTTCATCAATGGCCCTCATAATTGACATTAAAGAGGGGCACGATCCTAGGACGTCCTTCCCTACGTAGCTATAAATAGTGAGCTCAGCTATCATTGTAAAGGACACAAATTTTCTAGCAAACTTATGCTATTAAGTAAAGGTTACATTCGACCTCGTTCGAATTAACTAAGTAAAAGTTACATTCGACCTCGTTCGAATTAACATCTATTCGGCCCTCGGCCAGAATTAAGAAAAGGTTACATTCGACCTCGTTCGAATTAACTAAGTAAAAGTTACATTCGACCTCATTCGAATTAACTAAGTATAGGTTACATTCCACCCGTCCGAGTTAACATCTATTCGGCCCCGGCCACAACTTAATACGGGTTACATTTGACCTCGTTTGAATTAACAACTATTCGGCCCTCGGCCATAACTAAACACGTGACATGTTCGTCCTCGTTCAGACCAATACCTACTGGCCCTCGGCCACGATCAAAACTAAGTTTTGTTTCGACCTCGTTCAACACACGCGAACCAAGTTTTTATGACTAAAGCGACCAAGCAGCAAAAGAAAAGAAAGAGGCATACAAACCCGAACAGAAGGAAAATAATGGTACAAGCAACAAGATTGGCATCTCATACTTAGAATATTCTTTTTACAAAGGCTAGAACAAATCCTCACAAACTATGTACACAAAGTCTACAAACAAAAAGAAGGACAAACAACTAATCGCCGCCTAACCCAGCAGCACTATCCGCCTCTCCGCCATCGCCATCGCCATCGAGATATTCATCCTCATACCAGGCGTCCTCTTCAATCCAATCCACGCCAGCATCCTTCTCGTCATCACCGACCTCCGGTGTAGTGGGGTCATAGCCATAAGCAACACGAGTCGTACGTCCTTAGCACGACGTCCTTGAAGTCGGCCTCAGAAAATTTCCCCGCCCCCATCAGATCTCTAAATATATCTAGTTGAGCCTCAGCATGGATCCACTTCTCATACATATCCCGCGGAACATCGGTCATTAAGGCCTGAAGCCTCTTTCTCCAACTCCCCTATCCGCTCATCGAGCCACTCCTCTCCGAGCCTGGCCGTCTCCAGATCACTTTCCCGCCCAGAACGAAGAATGCGGATTACGGCCTCCAAAGCCTCCGCTTTCCTCGAAGCTCCCAACTGAGCCGATTCCGCCCTCTCTATGTCAGCTGCCTTCTCGACGACCTCACCACTCAGAGAAACTGCCTTGACTAGGCACTCTTCGAGCTCGGCCCGCAACGAGACCACTTGGGTTTGAAGATCGGCACATTGGGCCTCGACCCCCTTGCTCAACTTGAGCTCTTCTTCTTTATCCCTCAACACCCCTTCGAGGACGCTGCATTTTCCGATGAATCTCACCAACTCGCCATCTTTATCTTTCAGCTCGTCTCGAAGAGCCCGGAAGCGACCACTCTCACCAAATCGCCTACAGATCTCGCAATGCTTATTGCGGTACTCATGATACTTCTACTCTATCTTCTGAAAAATGGCCTTGCACCTCTCCTCTTATTGGGCACTCTCGATTTCCAGAATCACAGTATTAAAAAAAACCAAAGTCAAACAACAACTAAGCATGAAGTACCAAGCACGGAATTTGAAAGGAAGGTCGAAAAACTTACCCTAAGGGCGAGGCCGGCTATACTTCTCGATAGGGTAGCATCGTCCAATTCTTCGAGAGTTCTACCCTCCACGTCGAAGCAAAGGGGACCTAAGGAAGGGACCACATTCTTCGTGTTCACCAGTAAGTCTTGATCCATTGGGATCGCAATGGTCCGCGTGGACCCTTCCAACCTCACTTCAACTCGGGTAAACCCTTCGCTCATCATCAGCACCTCATCGACATCTATATCGGAGCCCATTTCATAGTCGTCCTCGGTAACACCTTATATCTCCCATCGGCAGACGAAGAAGGAACGTTAGTCGGTCGTGAGGACGAGGGCTCATCTCGTTGTACAACACCCGAAATTTCCACAGATGGCCCCCCAGTTCCAACCTCGGCATCGTAAAGGGGCACACCTTCTACGGCCTTCACGGATGGCGGGACCTCAAATGACAAATCAACATCATCTTCAAGCACGATGGTCGCCGGCTCGTAATCACTCCTTATCGAATCCACTGCTCGGACTGTCCCATCGTTGATGTCCACTGACCTCCTTTCGTGAGAAATTAAACCCTTCTCGCTTGGCGATGACTCCTCTTCTTCATCTATTAAATGACGCAAGGGGGAAGTCAGAAGTTCCGTTGCTGATGCAGTCGATGACCGAACCGACCTAGGTGCAAAAGAAAGCGAAATGGAATCAGACAACCGGGCAGGCCTGGCTGCGGTCACAACAAGAGCAGACTCCGAGGAGGTAGTTTTTTTCTTATGAAATGCAGGAGGAGGAGCCCTCGGTTTTCTCGAAGGTCCAGCTGAAAAAGGTAAATTAAAAATTCACTTCCCACAATGATGTAACAAGCAAGAGGCCACAAAGTCAAAACAGTTAAGTAAAAATAGATAAACTCACCGACCGCGGAAGACACCAGCCTGAATTTCTTGAGAAAGGCCGGCCATTTGCGGATCCCCATAGTGTGAGGCAGAACCTGACTAACCCAGTCATGAAAATCCTCGACCAAAGGAGGAGGCTCAGTCTCGGTTGCACGAAAAAAATGAAATGTCAAAACATGGCCGAAGAAGGCAAAGAAAACAATTGATAAAAAAAAGAGAAATAGTTATGGGCATAATTCCAAGCCTCGAGGAACCCGTTCACGTTGGCCATCACGTCCTCGGTTTTAACGAAGAAATAGTTGAGCAAAAACTAACGATTCGCCTTATCGTCTATCTTCACCACTAAACACTTGCTCCCTCGGTGGCGAAGGTGCAACATCGTCCCCCTATAGAATCTTGGGGCGAAGGGATGCATCAAATGACGAAGTGACACCCCGAACCCGGCTAATTCCGCATATTTCGTAAGCATGAAGATAATCTTGTAGACGTATGGAGAAAGTTGGATCAGGCAAATGCCGTAATTGTGAGCACGTGATTTTTGCCCTGTATGAATTACTCCCATAGTTTCAAACAAAATAATTTCTTTTCATTATTTGTAATTCGTGAATTTTTGTGGCATTTTATGTTAANCGCCTGGAGAACAGAGGCATTTATTTCAAGTTTTAGCAATCAGGAGCCCGCCTGGAGAACAGAGGCATTTATTTCAAGATTTAGCAATCAGGAGCCCGCTTGGAGAACAGAGGCATGTATTTCAAGTTTTAGCAATCAGGAGCCCGCCTGGAGAACAGAGGCATACATATCAATTTTCAGCAGTCAGGGGCCCGCCTGGAGAATAGAGGCATACATTTCAAGTTTCAGCAGTCAAGCATCACCCGGAGAAATGGCA